ATAGATGCACAAAAATCTCTTTTGATTGCTCTCGACATGGAGGAGTGCTTTTGGAAGGAAAAATCCAGGACTATTTGGAATTTGGAGGGTGATCGGAATACGGCTTTCTTCCACCGCGTTTCTAAAATTAAATCCAAGCTTAAGCCCATTTCCATGTTTAAGCATGATGATGCAGTGTTGACAGATTCTAAGGCCATTGCAGATTGCACTGTGAATTACTTTAAAAACCTATTTTCTACTAACACTTCTGTTTTGTAGGATATGAGTATGGTTGATGACACTATTCCCCGGCTAGTTGACAATAATATGAATGTTAATCTCACGCAATTACCGTCTTTGGAAGAGATTTATGCGGCTGTTTTTGTGCTTAATAAAGATAGTGCTCCGGGTCCTGATGGTTTTGGTGCTACCTTTTTTCAATTATTTTGGAATATCGTTAAAGGGGACGTCTCAAATCCTGTCACCGATTTCTTTATCAATGGCTGGATTCTGCCTAGTTATAATTCCAACTCTATTGTTTTAATTCCTAAGGTCAAGGGTGTTGATGATTTAGACTCGCTTCGTCCCATCGCCTTATCGAATTTCAAGTTCAAGCTGATATCTAAAATTATTGCTGACCGATTGGCGACTTTAATGCCTTTCCTAGTTTCAGAGGAGCAGTGTGGTTTCATTTAGGGTAGGCATATTCATGACTGTATCGGACTTGCTTCGGAGGCAGTTAATCTGTTGGATTCTAAATCTTGGTGTGGAAATGTTGCTCTCAAGGTCGACATTAAGAAATCCTTTGACACTCTTAATTGGAATTTCTTGATGAAAGTTCTTAGAAATTTTGGTTTTAATGATAAATTTTGTTCGTGGATTGGCTTGATTTTCCACTCTGCTTTCATGTCTGTCAACATCAACTGGGTGCTGCAAGGATACTTCTCTTGTTCTCGTAGAGTTTGACAGGGTGATCCGCTTTCGTCGCTTCTTTCCTGCTTCGCAGAGGATGTCCACAGTAGGAAACTGCTGTAGTTAGTTTCATCCAACATTACAACCGAATTTCTGTCCTGAACCATATAAAGCTTCCTTCATATATCTTGTACGCAGATGACATGTTCATTTTCTACAAAGGCTAGCTTTCCAACATAAATACTCTCATCAATACTTTCAAGATTATGTTGCAGTGTCGGGGAAGGAAGTTCATTGCAAGAAATCTTTCATTTATGACGGGTCAATGACTACTTCTAGGCTGAATATTCTTGTTGATCTTACAGATTTTCAAAATGGATCATTGCCCTTTGTGTATCTTGGTGTCTCGCTTTTCATTGGCAAACCTAAAAAACTTCACTTGCAGCCTATTGCGATTAAATATGAATATACATATAAATGATTAATTATAATTTGATGTTTTTGTTACGAGTTTAATTGGTATGTATTGATAGTGTAAAATAACATCCAATAGAAATTTATTAATGTGTCATGTTATATTGTTAACTTAAAAATTATAGTCTGATGTAGTAGGATACACGAGAGTGATTGATTGACAGTGTAAAATAATTTTACACTTCAGTACATACCAATTGATTGACGGTGTAAAATAATTTTACAGTACATATCAATTAAATTATTTTATTATTTTTTACACTTTTATATTATTTTTGTGAGATTTTAATTTGTAATTATTCAAAAAATATTGACTGAGCTCACCTGTAACAAAAAGATGCGAGTGAGATTTTCAGTCGGGAAATTTTACCCCGTACCCCTACAATTATACTCATACCCCTACACTAAATTTTTTTGGACTAAAATACCCTCGTATAAATAATTATAATTTTTTTCATTTGTTTACCGGAAGACTTTAAGTATGTATTCCAGTTCATATTTTTTTTCGTTTGTTCACTAGAAGTCTTTTTTGCAAGTCTTCCGGTTCATATTTTTTTTCGTTCGTTCACCGGAAGATTTTTTGCAAGTCTTCCGGTTCATTTTTTTAAAATTTTTTTTTAATATTGAACTTAACAGATATTTTAATATGTTATTTATTTTAAAAAACAAACAAGCTCTCCTCCACCTCCAAATTCTTCCTCCCAAAAACATAAAAAGTTTAATTCTTGAGAAAAACTTTCAGCTGCTTTAGCTTCTCTTTAATCACAAAATCACTCCTCTCCTCAACCTCGATATCTCTCAAAGCTTTTTGAACAAGCTTCAAAAACTCCTTTTTATAGATCAAAATTTAAAGATTGCACAACAATCTCTCCTACAATTGCAGTAGAAACTTTATCATAGAATATAATGTATTATTTGTTAGTGAAAGTCGAAAACATCTTCATCTCCAAAAGTATCATATTAAATGAACAAAACTTTAACCATAGATAAAAATCTGAATTCTTTTATGCAGACCTACGCTTGATTCTTTATCTAGGAATAAAATGGAAGTTAAGAAAGATCACAATGTTGTTAAAATAAGTAGTCATGAAAAATATTGAAACAAATACACATGTAGAATTGCAAGAGCATCAACACTCCAATGAATTAGAAGGAGAAATCTAAAGAAGTTCGGAACTATTTGATTAGTATTATCTTTTGTCTAGTTTTCAGTTAACCAAGCATTCATCGAAAGAAGAACAAAAACAAATTATTTATTTATTTACATTAAATCTTCGTAGTTGAATATTAAAAAATATTTATAAAAAAAACACGAACCGGAAGACTTGCAAAAAGTCTTCCGGTGGACAAACGAAAAAAAATGTGAACCGGATGACTTGCAAAAAGATTTCCGTTGAACAAACGAAAAAAAATAAACCGGAAGACTTGCAAAAAGGCTTCCGGTGAACAAACGAAAAAAAATATGAACCAGAAGACATACTTAAAGTATTCCGGTAAACAAACGAAAAAAATTATAACTATTTATACGAGGGTATTTTGATCTAAAAATTTTTAGTGTAGAGGTATAGATATAATTGTAGGGCTATGAGGTGAAATTTCCTTTCAGTCGACCTGCTTTGCCCCACAACACTCAACTTAAATGTTCAATTCTAAAATAGAAAATAGAAGAAAGAAAATAAGATTAGAGTTTTACAAGTAATATGAATACTACAATTTATAAAAGTAAGAGTTACAAAATGAAATGCACTATCCAACCTACAATGCTCTTCAAAATTTTTTGGTATAGGTTGGTTCATCAATTTTCTAAATTCAAAGAAATGCACTGAACCTACTTGAACCTACTGTGTCCACAATCCTTCTTAATTTTACCGTCTTTTAATTTTACAATGCATTATCATGAAATGTTACGAGTTTGTTAAAAAATAAAATTAAGCATAGCAAATTAAAAAAAAACTCATAAAATAAAATCAAAATCTAATAAATCAAACTAAAGTAACCAACATCATAACCGACCTAACAAATTATCAATCATATTAGAGACAAAAGGAAATAATAGATATTTGACTTTTCACCGCCGAACTACTTCTCACCGCCGACTTTTTTTTCTTACCGTCGGCTGAGCTTCTTTTTCTTTTTACTTAGAATGAGAATCTAAATCTCTTTTTCATGGAATTTGCTGATCTTATCCCTGAAACCCTTTTAGTTCCTGCTGCTAAACTTCCATCAAGTCAAGATACTTCCATAATCGTATTTCCACCCACGAAATCTTTCGCACAAGTTCTTAAGAGTGTTTGTGACATTCCAACTTCCCAGGCTACCTCATCTAAATCTAGAGTTGACCGAACTTTTGGTCAATTTTTCCGAGTTTTGATTGATATGGATCTTTCTCAACCTATCAACCATAATGTTCTCGTTGAAAGGGAGGGCTTTGCTTTTTTCTATGATATTGAGTACGAAAATCATCCTGAATTTTGCTCACATTGTAAGAAATTTGGGCATGATGTGCAACACTACAAACTTTTGCAGAAATCAATACTTTAACCAATCCAAAAAACCAATACTCTAAACTTTTGCAGAAATGAATACTTCAACAAGGTCCCAAGCAGGACTCAAACACCTTACATCATGAAGTGCCCTTACTGGAATATTTTTGGAGTTGCTAATGCTCCCTCAAAAGTAGCTCTTAAGAGACTCATTAAGCTTCATCATCCTAATTTCATCTTCTTAGCAGAGCCCAAAATGGATTATGCTAAGTTCCCTTCCAACTGGTTTTATCGATTAGGTTTCAAACTTTTTGTTGTCAACAATAAAGTGAAACCATCTTTATGGTGTTTTTGCTTAAAAGATTTCTCTCATGTCATCTTATCCTCCTCTGATGAATTTGTTGCCTTCAATTTTGTTTTGGATAACCATTTGCTAGCTTGTGGTGCAGTGTATGCATCCACCAATTTCACTAAAAGGAGATATCTTTGGGACGATCTCACCAACTCTTTTTTTCACACTCTATTCCATGGTCTTTCGTGGGAGATTTTAATGCTATTATTGGTGCTCATGAACATCGTGGTAGATACTCTCCAGCCAAAATTCCGTTGACAGAGTTTAAGAATTGGTCTGATAATAATACTCTTATTCACTTTCCCACTAGTGGAGATATCTTCACTTGGCCCAACAAGCGGATTTCTTCTTACTCCATTGAGAGGCGTCTTAATAGATGTATTGGAAACCTGCTTTGGTTTGATGCTTGCAATCAAATATTTGTTTCTACTCTCATCAGATCTAGCTCTGATCATTCTCCGCTGTTGTTCGAATTTCACATTAACCAGGCATGTGTGGTTTCTCAAATAAAGTTTTTAAAGGCTTGGTCGATGCACAAGGATTGTAAGAAGCTGATTGAATCTGTCTGGTCTACAAAGGTTATTGATTGTCATATGTACACACTTTTTAGAAAGCCGCAGTTGCTAAGATATAAACTTAAGGAATGGAATAAAAATGTCTTTGGGAATGTCACCTCTAATGTTAAGAGTGCTAAAGAGTTACTTGGTAATATTTAACATAAAATCCAGATTGAAGGTCTGAATGACAATCTAAAGCAATAAGAAATAGATGCACAAAAATCTCTTTTGATTGCTCTCGACATGGAGGAGTGCTTTTGGAAGGAAAAATCCAGGACTATTTGGAATTTGGAGGGTGATCGGAATACGGCTTTCTTCCACCGCGTTTCTAAAATTAAATCCAAGCTTAAGCCCATTTCCATGTTTAAGCATGATGATGCAGTGTTGTTAGATTCTAAGGCCATTGCAGATTGCACTGTGAATTACTTTAAAAACCTATTTTCTACTAACACTTCTGTTTTGCAGGATATGAGTATGGTTGATGACACTATTCCCCGGCTAGTTGACAATAATATGAATGTTAATCTCACGCAATTACCGTCTTTGGAAGAGATTTATGCGGCTGTTTTTGTGCTTAATAAAGATAGTGCTCCGGGTCCTGATGGTTTTGGTGCTACCTTTTTTCAATTATTTTGGAATATCGTTAAAGGGGACGTCTCAAATCCTGTCACCGATTTCTTTATCAATGGCTGGATTCTGCCTAGTTATAATTCCAACTCTATTGTTTTAATTCCTAAGGTCAAGGGTGTTGATGATTTAGACTCGCTTCGTCCCATCGCCTTATCGAATTTCAAGTTCAAGCTGATATCTAAAATTATTGTTGACCGATTGGCGACTTTAATGCCTTTCCTAGTTTCGGAGGAGCAGTGTGGTTTCAGTTAGGGTAGGCATATTCATGACTGTATCAGACTTACTTCGGAGGCAGTTAATCTGTTGGATTCTAAATCTTGGTGTGGAAATGTTGCTCTCAAGGTCGACATTAAGAAATCCTTTGACACTCTTAATTGGAATTTCTTGATGAAAGTTCTTAGAAATTTTGGTTTTAATGATAAATTTTGTTCGTGGATTGGCTTGATTTTCCACTCTGCTTTCATGTCTGTCAACATCAACTGGGTGCTGCAAGGATACTTCTCTTGTTCTCGTAGAGTTTGACAGGGTGATCCGCTTTCGTCGCTTCTTTCCTGCTTCGCAGAGGATGTCCACAGTAGGAAACTGCTGTAGTTAGTTTCATCCAACATTACAACCGAATTTCTGTCCTGAACCATATAAAGCTTCCTTCATATATCTTGTACGCAAATGACATGTTCATTTTCTACAAAGGCTAGCTTTCCAACATAAATACTCTCATCAATACTTTCAAGATTATGCTGCAGTGTCGGGGAAGGAAGTTCATTGCAAGAAATCTTTCATTTATGACGGGTCAATGACTACTTCTAGGCTGAATATTCTTGTTGATCTTACAGATTTTCAAAATGGATCATTGCCCTTTGTGTATCTTGGTGTCTCGCTTTTCATTGGCAAACCTAAAAAACTTCACTTGCAGCCTATTGCGATTAAATATGAATATACATATAAATGATTAATTATAATTTGATGTTTTTGTTACGAGTTTAATTGGTATGTATTGATAGTGTAAAATAACATCCAATAGAAATTTATTAATGTGTCATGTTATATCGTTAACTTAAAAATTATAGTCTGATGTAGTAGGATACACGAGAGTGATTGATTGACAGTGTAAAATAATTTTACACTTCAGTACATACCAATTGATTGACGATGTAAAATAATTTTACAGTACATATCAATTAAATTATTTTATTATTTTTTACACTTTTATATTATTTTTGTGAGATTTTAATTTGTAATTATTCAAAAAATATTGACTGAGCTCACCTGTAACAAAAAGATGCGAGTGAGATTTTCAGTCGGGAAATTTTACCCCGTACCCCTACAATTATACTCATACCCCTACACTAAATTTTTTTGGACTAAAATACCCTCGTATAAATAATTATAATTTTTTTCATTTGTTTACCGGAAGACTTTAAGTATGTATTCCAGTTCATATTTTTTTTCGTTTGTTCACTAGAAGTCTTTTTTGCAAGTCTTCCGGTTCATATTTTTTTTCGTTCGTTCACCGGAAGATTTTTTGCAAGTCTTCCGGTTCATTTTTTTAAAATTTTTTTTTAATATTGAACTTAACAGATATTTTAATATGTTATTTATTTTAAAAAACAAACAAGCTCTCCTCCACCTCCAAATTCTTCCTCCCAAAAACATAAAAAGTTTAATTCTTGAGAAAAACTTTCAGCTGCTTTAGCTTCTCTTTAATCACAAAATCACTCCTCTCCTCAACCTCGATATCTCTCAAAGCTTTTTGAACAAGCTTCAAAAACTCCTTTTTATAGATCAAAATTTAAAGATTGCACAACAATCTCTCCTACAATTGCAGTAGAAACTTTATCATAGAATATAATGTATTATTTGTTAGTGAAAGTCGAAAACATCTTCATCTCCAAAAGTATCATATTAAATGAACAAAACTTTAACCATAGATAAAAATCTGAATTCTTTTATGCAGACCTACGCTTGATTCTTTATCTAGGAATAAAATGGAAGTTAAGAAAGATCACAATGTTGTTAAAATAAGTAGTCATGAAAAATATTGAAACAAATACACATGTAGAATTGCAAGAGCATCAACACTCCAATGAATTAGAAGGAGAAATCTAAAGAAGTTCGGAACTATTTGATTAGTATTATCTTTTGTCTAGTTTTCAGTTAACCAAGCATTCATCGAAAGAAGAACAAAAACAAATTATTTATTTATTTACATTAAATCTTCGTAGTTGAATATTAAAAAATATTTATAAAAAAAACACGAACCGGAAGACTTGCAAAAAGTCTTCCGGTGGACAAACGAAAAAAAATGTGAACCGGATGACTTGCAAAAAGATTTCCGTTGAACAAACGAAAAAAAATAAACCGGAAGACTTGCAAAAAGACTTCTGGTGAACAAACGGGAAAAAATATGAACCAGAAGACATACTTAAAGCCTTCCGGTAAACAAACGAAAAAAATTATAACTATTTATACGAGGGTATTTTGATCTAAAATTTTTTAATGTAGAGGTATGGATATAATTGTAGGGGTATGAGGTAAAATTTCCTTTCAGTCGACCTGCTTTGCCCCACAACACTCAACTTAAATGTTCAATTCTAAAATAGGAAATATAAGAAAGAAAATAAGCTTAGAGTTTTACAAGTAATATGAATACTACAATTTATAAAAGTAAGAGTTACAAAATGAAATGCACTATCCAACCATACAATGCTCTTCAAATTTTTTTGGTATAGGCTGGTTCATCAATTTTCTAAATTCAAAGAAATGCACTGATTTTACCATCTCTTAATTTTACAATGCATTATCATGAAATGTTACGAGTTTGTTAAAAAATAAAATTAAACATAGCAGATTAAATAAAAAAACTCATAAAATAAAATCAAAATCTAATAAATCAAACTAAAGTAATCAACATCATAACCGACCTAACAAATTATCAATCATAATAGAGACAAAAGGAAATAATAGATATTTGATCTTTCACCGCCGGACTGCTTCTCACCGCCGACTTTTTTTTCTTACCGTCGGCTGAGCTTCTTTTTCTTTTTGCTCAGAATGAGAATCTAAATCTCTTTTTCATGGAATTTGCTAATCTTATCCCTGAAACCCTTTTAGTTCCTGCTGCTAAACTTCCATCAAGTCAAGATACTTCCATAATCGTATTCCCACACACGAAATCTTTCGCACAAGTTCTTAAGAGTGTTTGTGACATTCCAACTTCCCAGGCTACCTCGTCTAAATCTAGAGTTGACCGAACTTTTGGTCAGTTTGTCCGAGTTTTGATTGATATGGATCTTTCTCAACCTATCAACCACAATGTTCTTGTCGAAAGGGAGGGCTTTTCTTTTTTCTATGATATTGAATACGAAAATCTTCCTGAATTTTGCTGACATTGTAAGAAATTTGGGCATGATGTGCAACACTACAAACTTTTGTAGAAATCAATACTCCAACCAATCCAAAAAACCAATACTCCAAACTTTTGTAGAAACCAATACTTCAACAAGGTCCCAAGCAGGACTTAAACACCTTATATCATGAAGTGCCTTTATTGGAATATTTGTGGATTTGCTAATGCTCCCTCAAGATTAGCTCTTAAGAGACTCATTAAGCTTCATCATCCTGATTTAAGCTTCTTAGCAGAGCCCAAAATGGATTATGCTAAGTTCCCTTCCAACTGGTTTTATCGATTAGGTTTCAAACTTTTTGTTGTCAACAATAAAGTGAAACCATCTTATTGGTGTTTTTGCTTAAAAGATCTCTCTCATGTCATCTTATCCTCCTCTGATGAATTTGTTGCCTTCAATTTTGTTTTGGATAACCATTTGCTAGCTTGTGCTGCAGTGTATGCATCCACCAATTTCACTAAAAGGAGATATCTTTGGGATGATCTCACCAACTCATTTTTTCACACTCTATTCCATTATCTTTCGTGGGAGATTTTAATGCTATTATTGGTGCTCATGAACATCGTGGTAGATACTCTTCGGCCAAAATTCCGTTGACAGAGTTTAAGGATTGGTCTGATAATAATAGTCTTATTCACTTTCCCACTAGTGGAGATATCTTCACTTGGCCCAACAAGCGAATTTCTTCTTACTCCATTGAGAGGCGTCTTAATAGATGTATTGGAAACCTGCTTTGGTTTGATGCTTGCAATCAAATATTTGTTTCTACTCTCATCAGATCTAGCTTTGATCATTCTCCATTGTTTTTCGAATTTCACGTTAACCAGGCATGTGTGGTTTCTCAAATAAAGTTTCTAAAGGCTTGGTCGATGCACAAGGATTGTAAGAAGCTGATTGAATCTGTCTGGTATATAAAGGTTATTGATTGTCATATGTAACACTTTTTAGAAAGTTGTAGTTGCTGAGATATAAACTTAAGGAATGGAATAAAAATGTCTTTGGGAATGTCACCTATAATGTTAAGAGTGCTAAAGAGTTACTTGGTGTTGCACCCCAAAATTTGCCCTCACAATACAAGACTTTGTGTTCCAAGAAGGTTCACAAGGTTCACAAAATTCACAATTGGTCAGAAGAGTTGACAATTCCCTCAGACAATGCACCTCCTAAGCAGTGCATCCAAAACTAGGGTTTTGACTTTAATCAGGCTAAATGGACTTCCAAGACTTCAAGTGAGCTTCATAACATCTTATATGTGTATAAGAACCCCCATGTCAAGTTTCAAGACTTTTCTCAAAAGTTTGCTCAGTCAGATGATCAGATAAGTCAAAAGCAGTCAATGCAGTTAAAAGGTCAAACTGAGGTCAACTGTGGTCAAACCAAAGTCAAACTTCATGATTTTTTTTTTGCCAACATCAAAGAGAGGTTGGGTGAGAAATATTATCATAATAACTGTAATACCCCAAATTTTGCCCTAAGATTTGTCGTCGCATTTCATTGCATTTAATCAATTACTAACAAATTTGTGTAGTCGTTTGACTTTTTGCAGGTAAATATCATATGGCATGCATTTTTTTTCTAAAAAGTAAAAATGGCACAATTGGCAGGAGGACATGTGTAAGGAGTTATGAGTGTGAGAGGTTGAGAGTTCGAATCTCACCTTTGTCATTTTTTTGTTTTTTATTATTTTTACTCTAAATTTTTCTATCTTTCATTAAAAAAATAACAAAAATAGTTTTTTATTATTATTTAATTATTATTTTCGTATTTTAATTAAATCATTTTTTAAAATATTATTTTTTTCACTTTTTTCTAAATTATTCATAAAAATATCCAAAAAATCATAAAATA